AACGTGAAAAATAGGACGCTTCCTAGTTGGATGCTTGTTGCCAATCATTGAAGTTCATCCTTTTGGGATTGCGGTTGAGTTTTGACGAGGGCCAAGCTCAAAATCTGCAGAATTCACGATCAAGAATTAGCCCAATCTACAATATTTTATTGCATCCTACCCTTTGAACAGTTTCAGATTTTGCAGTGAGTGTAACTTTTGGAATCATGATGGGAAGATGATTAATCTAAATCACAAATTTATTTTCCCACTGCGCAAGAATATTTCCATGCAATGATTTTGTAAAAGAAAATCTATGATTACAACAGAATTCAACAGTCATTAGCTTTTTGTTTTTCTTCCACTAATTTGATTACTTGGTGACAATAAATCCAACTTCCCACAAGGATACAATGTTCAATATGCTTAGCAAAAAAGATATTGCATCAAATCTTCAGTTCTTTTTAAGAGAATCTATCAAATCTTGAAAGGAGAAAAATCTGAAGCCAGGCATTTGGTTACCTATTGATAACAGTAAATTCTCTTCTTCAGCAATTGCACTTGTGAAAAGAGGAAAAAGACAAATGGAATGTGGAGAAATGGTCTTGTCATTGAACACTTTTTAATGCAACTTTGTTTCTTTTCCGGTGGTGATGGTTTCTGAGTTTGATAACCGGATAATTTGCTGGAAGTTTGTCGGAAGATTGACTTGAAAGTTGGAGTGATCTGTACCAAAAAAATGGTAGGGTTTTGAAAGTAGAATTTCAAAACGCATTCCAACGCTTAAATCAATAAAGCGTAACAGGTGATAAAAATTAGAAAAAAAAAAAAAAAGAAAGCATGAAGATTAGACGAGAGTGAATAAAAATTTCAGAATGATATATATATATATATATATATATACACATCTTAATTTTATTTTTTATAATAAGTTAATACTAACATAACCATTTAACTTATCTTACGTTAGATTAAATGTCGAATCAATTGAAATGATAGTCAAACTAACAATCAAGGAGTGCTGTCTTGAAGTTCAAAATCTTAACCAAGCGACCAAACTATAACATTATCCATTCCGAATCGCTGATCAAGTGCTGCCCACGTTCTCCTTTCACAAAATCAAAGTTCCCATTCATGAAAATAAAAAAAAAGAGCACTGCATTCTACATAAGAGACTACGAACTCGAAAGATAAAAACATAGGTAAATTTCATCTTCTTTTTTCCTTTTCAAAGTGTCAACTAATACGCATTTTTTTGAGAAATGCCATGGCCTAACAAATGACACGACAGTACAAAGCTTGAGGCCATGTACACGAAAATAATGTCCCAAGTTCTACGACATAGGACATTACATTTTTTTTTTCAGTGGGACCAAATTTTTGGTAGCCAATTCCTAGTCATTTTGTGTATGAGAGATAAGAAAGAATAAAATCTAAAAAACTAAGGGCTGATCCTTTTTTTTTTTTTGGATAAACTGAATATTTATTTATCCAAAGTCAGCAAGAATCTGTTACAATATACTGTTCTACAACTTAACAATTCAGAAAAATCAATTCGTTAACAATTTATTCTAAAAATTTTACATTCAGATTCTAATATTCACTAAGTTTTTTGTTTATCATATCTCTTGCAATATGTCTTAATCTATGCAGCCTGTATCTTATAATTTCTTTGACTTTGTCCACCATTTGTGCAGTTTTCATCCCCTTTGCTTGAATATCCTTTGATTCATTTCCCTTCATATGAAATATATAAATGCATTACAGGCAATTCTCAATAGAATTGAGATCAATGCTTTCCTTTTTAATTTTTTCTCTGTCAACTCAGTTCTGTGTCCCAACTTTCTACTTTTCTATCAATGTTGCATAACTGAAGGATCTTTTGTCAAACTTCTTTTGTATAGACGCCCTCAAAGTAAACATGGTCTCTTATTTCACCTTCATTGTGGCATAAGTTGCATCTATTATCAATTTTCATTGCTTATGATCGCAACTCCCATATGAGCTGAAATGTTACAGCCCCTTCTTTTTTTTGTTTCTGACCCACATCAATAAGACTGAGACTATTGCATACCTCCAACCAGAGGAAACGTGAAAAATAGGACGCTTGCTAGTTGGATGCTTGTTGCTAATCATTGACGTTCATCCTTTTGGGATTGTGGTTGAGTTTTGATGAGGGCCAAGCTCAAATTCTGCAGAATTCAAGATCAAGAATTAGCCCAATCTACAATATTTTATTGCATCCTACCCCTTGAACAGTATCAGATTTTGCAGTGAGTGTAACTTTTGGAATCATGATGGGAACATGATTAATATAAATCAAAATTTTATTTTCCCACTGCGCAAGAATATTTCCATGCAATGATTTTGTAAAAGAAAATCTATGATTACAACAGAATTCAACAGTCATTAGCTTTTTGTTTTTCTTCCACTAATTTGATTACTTGGCGACAATAAATCCAACTTCCCACAAGGATACAATGTTCAATATGCTTAGCAAAAAAGATATTGCATCAAATCGTCAGTTCTTTTTAAGAGAATCTATCAAATCTTGAAAGAAGAAAATTCTGAAGTCAGGCGTTTGGTTACCTATTGATAACAGTAAATTCTCTGAAAATGAAATGCAAACACAAGTATAAGAAGTGAAGGAAACATAAAAAAATGCTAATGGAGAACAAGAAACAGATTTAGCCTTGCACCAGTGAAAGGTAAAGAAAAGAAAATGAACTTCATAGTGAAAAAAGAAGTCAAATGAAAAGCATGAGATTGGGAGTTAGATAATAGCAACAAGAAACAACCAACCAAAGATGTGGCAACCCACCGAAATGAAAAACAAACAAATAGTGGTGGGATCACAATTATGTTGAAAACACCCAATGGAATATACAATATACATTGTAACTTCCGTGCTGTTTGCTAGGTTTCTTTTAAGATGCTAGTGAAGTAAAATGACAAAAAAGTAGGATGAACAGCAGAAGAACATGTGAAATCGTCAAAGATAAGGGGAAAAAGTTTGTGAATCTGTGGATAGTGACAATATCGTAAGCTATATCCAGCTTTATTTGGTTGAAAAAAAAAACCACTTTTATAATCTGCAGAATCTGGAAATAGCAAGGAATTGGAATTCACATCAGAAACTGATTTTTTGATTATTTAATGCTGTTTGTCATGATTAACCTTGCACTAATTTGGGGAACTTTCAAGGCAGCAACAAAGTCTACTGGCACAACCAATGAGAATGCTAAAAGAAATACAGCAAATAAAATGCTAACAATATTGCCAATTAAAAAGGTCAACAAATCCAAATTGGAAAGTCAAAAGGCAATATAATCAAGTTCAGATGGCAGTCACATCAAATACAATTATACCAAAGAATTATATAAGGGGAAGCTCTCAAATGATGTATGAAAACTCCATTGTAAAAGAACTTTATTTTCTGCTGGCTAAATGCTATTGCACCTCCCATTTTCAAAGATAAGAAGGCTAGAATTACACCTCCCACTTTCAAAGATCCTACTTAAGTTTTAAAAAGAAAAATTATATGCAAAATATTTCTGCCATAAAAAGCGTGTTATCCATGTGTTGAAAGTTATCATATACAGTCTTATTCTCAAGATACCGCTTCATTTGTACAAAAAATTATCATATGCAGATTTGAATATGAAATTCAATGAACTCAGCTGTCGTTCTCTTGAAAAAGATAATGAACCTCATATCTCAGCACAGTTTCAATGGCATTAAGATCTTAAACATGTATATGAATCACTTCTCTCTGGTTTGCCATATACAAACATAAATCTAACCAAATTGAGAAAACATACAGAGGAGATCTTTGAAATCTGACCAACCCCAGCCCCCATATTTTATCTGGATTGCTGGAGTAAAAGATCCAGATTCCAAAGTCACCTAGGAAATCAGAGAAAGGAACTAATTAACATCAAAATTATCACTTGTCTTGCAATCTATTGCCAGCTATGGAATTCCTTTCCATCCAAAAAAGGAAGTGTCATTTCCATTTGTAAAGTCCAAGTCAATACGGATTAATTCACGGAAACAAAACAATCCAATCTTATTAACGTGATTAGGTTTTTACCAATTTTCAATGTCTGCCACTGAAGCTTGTCAATATCAATATGAACTAGTGTCTATAAATATAATTTTACCAAGTTTTTAATTCATTCTGATAAATAAAAGCTATCCACTCAAAATCTTTCTTCTAAATAATGAAATGATTTCCGAAAAAGTTTCTTTGATTGCGCTGCCCTTTTATGATTTAGTTTTGAATTATGCGTCACAAAGAAAGCACAACCAAAGTAGTTGATTCTAGCCAAAAGTCCATGCCTTAATAACTAACTAAATAATGCATATCTTAAACCAAAATAACAGCAATTTATTTCTAATAAATATTTAAGCACATTTGTTAGCTCAGTGATTAGATAATAATCTTTGATAATCTAAGCATAAAAATTATATATTTATGCACATGTGAGATGAGAAATTTAGGTATAGTATTATTGGAGTTAACATAGTTGAAATCGCTACTTGATTATTTTTTTCATTTAATTTTTACTCCATGAGTTAATAAATGAAAAAATTTTTAAAGTTGAATTCCTTACTTGTATGTTCTAAGTTGTAAGCAGCAAGGATGGACATCTATAGCTTCCTTTTTTTTTTTTTTGACATAAAGTGTTAAGACGTGTAAAATCTAATTATTGTTCTGAGGCTAATTATCTCTTTCGTATGGTGAACATCTATATATATATTTTTATATATTTTGCAATAGAGTGTTTCAGAAGTTATAATAATAAAAGAGCGTTGCTAAATGCTTCCCAACATTTTCTCAGCACAATTCAATTTTTTTTTTATTCAAAATTTTTTGTAAGTAAAATTATTTAATTATTTTTTCTCTTTCACACAAGTTTCTAAAAGTAGATTTTCAAAAAATTATAAACTTTTTCGAAAAATTTTATTTTTAGTAAGGTCGAAAGATTATAAACCTTTTCGAAATTGATGAGACCGAGCATGCCTTGATTAAAACACACATTCAAGAGAATTCAATACATCTTAAACATTACAGGTTCCAATGAGGATACATAATATCCACAATCACTAATTTTGTTAACACGTTGAAGAATCATCAGAAACTTGTGACAAATATAAAGTAACACTAATTTTCGTACAATCAAAACATAGATGAGATGGGATGTGATATTATCTTCATCCTGCACAAGGCACCCTGCAAGTTTCTGCTCTCAATTATCACAGCTTCCTCCACACCAAGGAATTTTCCACTTTCGAAATTGGGAGGAGGAAATTAACGATCATATCCGGAGTAGTCTTTCCAGTTGCTGTTCTTGGATTTCTCCATTGATCTAGGAGCTGATGACAGAAAGTACAGTTAACTGTAGCCTAAGACTTCGTCCATCTACAGTTCAAAAGGCATTTATACCAACACAAGCTACAATAATGTGAAGCCAGTGGACATAAGTCAGATATTTCATAGAAAAAAATTATACGTAAACTCGCAAGGAAAAGGGGCCTCTGCTTTCCATGTAATGATAAAAACTATTACATGAAAACACACCATAATAAAATCCATTCCATAGAAGCTGCCTTGAAAAATGAGCTCGAATGTCAATGCATTCGCATCTTAGCCGCTTGCATGAATATGATGATTGGTACACTAACTATTCCTCCAGAACTTATTAATAGGAGTACATAACATAAATTCAGATAACAGATTTATTTTGTACATCTTTTCAATTTTAAGACATAGGAGAATTCAATTTAACTAATACTCCTTCTGGCCCCACCTCCCTGTTTTTCATTGTATCTTTATCTTTTGAACATTTGACAGGATATAATTTGACCAGTGCAGACAAATCCAGAAAGTAGGAACTAACAATTCATTCAAAAGTGCACAGATGCAAATGCAAATTAAGAATACATAGACATACAAAAACAAAAAACAGGTGCATACACCTAGTTCCGACCATGAAGTGGTGTACAAACAAATAATTTGATGAATTTGATCCATTCTGAGGAGATCACTAAACATAAAATTACTTACCTAATCCAATCGCATCAGCACTCTTCATGGTTTTCAACCTCTTGCACGTTTCAATAAACATCCTGCAACAATCAAATCACAGACCAGTGGGTGAAGGTAAACTGAGTGAGGAAATCTCAATCTACCAGCAGTTAGAGTTTTATTATGGAGTACTCCAATTAGCTTCAAGGAGAGAGGGGTGATTATTAAACAAAGATCAAGTTGACAGCCATCAAACAAATCATGCAAGTATATCATATATATGCCTCTGAGTGTCTGTGTAGTATGCGAGTCTAGATTGTCAAGCTAACAAACTAGCCTATAACTAAAATGACTAACTGACCCTAGATCTAGAAGAAATAAGAACAGAAAAAATCAATGCTCCTTTAAAAAGGCAAAATATTTTCAAGTTCATCCTTTTTAATCAAAACGAAGGGTTCAAAATTATTTGTATAAATTTACTATATTTTACCATCTTTATGGAAAAGGAAAATAACATCTCAAAGAGACTTTTCTGAAAGTCTTATTATGACTTAATCAAGCTGTTATTCAACTTTATACCGCTTAGCTATTATAATCCTGCAATATATTTTCTGTCAAAACTTGAATGAAATGGCTTGAGAATTTTCTCCCATTTTGTATAGTAATCTAACCAGTAAACAAAATCATCCTACTCCACTCCAAGTACAAAATCTGATCTTTCCATTAAAGGTGATGTAAGATAAAATTAACAGTCATTTTCTAGCCACCAAACTACATCTATTAATTCGTACACCTTCCATTGACAAAAAACAGGAGAGTCAAAGTGCTTGCAGAAATAAGTAATAACAATACATACACATGCATCGCATGTTTTCACATGTTTGTTGTCATATGCATCAAAATGAACCATAACTCCAATTAAAAAGATTCAGTCTATAAAAGATACTCCAAAAACTTCTACCCATGTGATTTAAGATCTAAAAAAAAGAAAGCAATTACGGAAAAAATAAAATACTAGAGCAAACAGAAATTTTGAGTGACTGAAGCTTACTCCCATGGAACATCCCCGACGAGCATCCAGTCACCATCTTTATCTTCATATGTAAGCACATATTCTGATCCATGCAAAAGATCCTTCAACGTGCTCTCACTCAAGAGTTCCTTCCCAGGAGCACCATGAGACCCAAATTGACCTGAAATCATAATGAAAATGTGGTAACTAGATCTATGCCAAGCATTGGAAAATTTCCTTTAGGTATCATTTAGTATTTTTTGCAAGATCACCATGGTGATATAATCACCGAGGTGATGTTATCAATTGTGATTTGAAATCACTTTGTTAACAATTATTAATACTTAGTAATTAAAGATCACGATCTTTGTTATTACTAAAAATCAAACATTCTTTCATTTAAAAGTATGAAAATAACCATGCATATTGTAATAATTACATAAGTTAAGGATTTTAATACTATTTAAAGATGATAATTTGTAAAATGTTAGTAATAGTTAATTTATTTTATAATAAAATATAATTAAATTATTAAATTAATAAATATATTTATTGATAGGTAAACTAATTTTTATAATATAAATTATGTAAAACAATGTTTGAATTAGAAAATTAAACTAATCTATTAAATTCAAAATAAAGAAAAACAAAAAGATTATATTATATATAAAATATTTAAATAAACACATTATTTTTAAACTTATTACAATGAATATTATTTTTAAAATATAAAAATATAAAATAATTATAATTTTAAAAGAAACAAGTTTTTAATTCGCATATTAAATCGATAATATTGACTATTGTTAATTTTACATATCATTTCACCTCAATTATAAAAGTTTCCCACACTTTTGGATGGGAATTAGGTTATCCTCCAACATAGTGATCTAATCATTCTCAGTGATCCAAAACCACCACCACATAGGATAACCAACTACTTGCCAAACACAGTGATCTAATCACCATATGTAGATCACCATGATTTTTGAAGTGATCACCCCATATCAAACACTACCTTATTGAAAATTCAGGTAAGCACATTTCTTGCATCAAGAAGGATTCAGCTTGATATTGCCACAAGGCAAAAGGTATATCAATAGCTTACCAAGGGTAAAACAGCTGAACATCTTCTCAAGAGCAGAAGACAGTTCTCCATAAGTCGAATAAGTTCTCAAATCTACCTTCCTCAGATAAGGAGCTCCATCCATACTGACCTTGACAAAAAGCGCACCAGGTCCTGGTTTTCCATCAACTTCATCATTGTTCTTCGAAGAATTGGCCAGTGTTTTAGTCCTAAATGATCTTATTGGTGGCCAACCAACAACCTGAGCCCTGTTAAGGATGGCATATCATAACAACAATCAAATCAAAAAGGTCAAGAACTCAAGATATAATGCCCTTTATCGCACCCAAAGCTTAAGAGTCCTTTCTCAAGTAAATTATACTTACTTGGCAGCAGGTGCACTGTTGTTGTTAGAAATGCCTATTTGGTTGAGGTTGGTCTCATTAGTGGAGCAAGGTTGTTCTTGTAACACAGTTGCAGGCCCATCATTCTTTACAGATGCTTGAGCCCCAGAAGATCTTGCTGACAGCATCACATTAACCCCTGAATTACCAGGATATTTTCCATGTGCCACAGGTTGTGGAAATTCATAATCAGAACCAGCTCCATGAAACATCCAATCTTTTTCAGTGTACACAGAGCCTTTCACCGCAGAGAATCCATCCAGTGTGTCAGAGAACCCCCTTTTGTTTCCAGTAATAACACTTTTCTGTGATGATGAGCAGATTCCATCTTTAGAAGGAAGTAGAGGAAACAGTGCCTTCTCATCAAATTTTCCCACATTCAGCAAACAAAGCTCCGTTTCTCTCTCAGGGGATTGAGATCCGGGAAGACCAAGCCTCAGCTCTGTAGCCTTCAAATTCAGATTCTTGTTATCCTCTGGCAAGCTCGAGACACCAGAGCTGTCAACTGAAGAACAATCTGATAATCCAAGATAATTCCGCTCCTTTAACCCCAAGCCATTCTGGGACATACAGTCAACAGAGGGAGAAGAAACATTACTCTGCCCTTCCTCCTCCACGCCCAGCAGCGGTGGTGACATCAGAACTCAAAACTTCTCAACACAGCCTCTTTACTTTATAGAAAAACAAATCAAATTTTCTGCTCACTTCATGAATAACACCTTTTAAGCCAAATTATTTAAAAACACAAGATTCAACACCACTACAAATTACAACAGATCAAAATCTACTCACAAAGATATCTAAACTAAACCGTCAAGTAGACTCGTCAATAATATTGATTGTTCCAGGCGAAAAGCCACCATGCATCAGCAGTTTCTGAATCCAATAACATCATCGATAAAACCCACTTCAACCCATTTTTTAAACAACTCCAGCTACCAGAATTGGTTATTTTGGGTCATTTTTATTGCTTCTAACAGTAAAAATTATTGAAAGTTTTCACTTCCTAAAGCTCAAATAATGGTGTAAGCCAGCTAACCTGCATTCGACCAATCTAACTTCATAAAACAAAATTACATGCCAATGAAAGAACCAAGTAGATTGTCAACTTCAAAATATATGGAAATACCTCTTAACATGTGGAGAATAATTACCACTCCATGATTTAACCAGAAAAACAGTAGAGCAAAAACTGAGCCCAAATTGATAAAGAATCTTAGGAAAAATCAACTTCTCTTTAATATTATTTTCCACTAGGTTGCTGACAAATTTTGTTTAGCTCATAAAAAGCAGGGGAAAAGAGTCAGCTAAAGTTTTACTGTTTTATGCATTGAATCTTTTTAGGACAGTTAAATTTCCGTTTTTCTCGAATAACAAGCAGAACAAAAAGGAGGAAGAGAAACGAAACAAAAAATAAAGCAGAAAAAAAGTACTAATCTTTTCTACTTTCGTTTTCTTCTGTTTTCCAGGCAACCAAACAGAACAAACTGATAAACCCACAAGCAAAAGAAATGGAGATCTTAATGTTGAACTCAAGCAGAGATGAAAAAAAAATGAAAATCTAAACAAAAATATAAAAAGAAAAAGCTTACCGGAGAAAAACTTGGAGGGTGCAGAGGAGACAAAGAGAAGAAGATTGATTACTGCTTTCAAAAATTGCAGGCGAAAATGCACGAACTGCAGAAAAAATTAAAGCAGAGAGAGAATAAACTTAAGGCCCTTCCATTAAGCAGAAAGCAATAAAAGCCATCCGCCGAGCAACTCAGGAAGTAAAAAAAAAAAAAAAAAGACAGAGAAAGAAACCGAAAGACGGGGACAAAAGCGAAAATAAACACAAAAAGTTTTGTAAATTTTTTGTATCTCTTGGGCAGAATGGGACCAGGCCGGTTTTATACTGCGCCGATCTGAGTGGAGGGGAATCTGATCCGACGGTTGACATTGGCTTAGAAATGGAGGGATCTCGATCGTTTGATTTGGGAAAATAATTTAGAAACACCTGTTGTTATTACAGGTGGTATATTTGAGGAAAGATCGGTTTTGATTGTCTGGTTCCTGTCCGCTTTCTGGTTCAATGAATGGGTTTTGAATGTGTTAAATGTCGAATTTACTCTTGGTGCCGTTATTACTAGGTCAATAACATCAACGCTCATCGCCACCTAGTCATCACACGTCCAATTATCGTGCTATCATAATAAAAAATTAACATCTAAATTTTTCGTCATAAAATAGATTCATCTCTCGTTAAGAAGGATTCGTTTAATATTTTTATTAATATTTCATCAAAATATCATTTTAAAATGTTATAATTAACTTTTAATTTATCTAAGATTATAAAATATAATTTACAATTATTCATGTGATTTTTCTTTGAACTTTACACAAATTCATTATCAATTATTTTTTTATTATATCATAATCATTCATCTCATGTGTAATTTAAAAATGAGATTTAAATGTATATATATGAACTAAGTATTTTTTTTCTCTTGAAGCCTATTCAATATTCACTATTGACTTTTTTTTTTTTACTAAACTTGTAAATACTTTTATTGACTTGAATATTAAAACGTATCCCAAAAAACTCATTTTTATATCTTTTAACTGTATTTTTTTACTGCAAGTTTCAACTTTCTTATGCACACAGCTTTCAGATAGCTTCACTGTAATAAATACCCAAAAACACCATCAACAACCTTTGTGCTAAGTAAGTATTCTGACAATTGTACTTTATTAGGAAGGGATTCCTAAGCGGCTTGGAAAAAAAAAAGATTAGTAAATGATTACTAAATGGCAATAAGGACCAATTTCTTTGTACTCAATATAACAAATATCTGATTAGTAAAACTAAAATGTTTCAAACGAGTTATACTCAATATAGAAAGTTAATATGGAGTTTAATCCAAATAGTTTATTCACCTTTTATAGAGGTAATTTTTAGTAAGTTTTCTTTCTTTAATTTTATTTAGCCTAAGCCTTTAATGTATAAAAAAAATAAAAATATATTTTAAAACAAAAGAAAAAAAAATAAGTGCATTACTATAAAATAAAAAAACTTACAAGTTAGTCTATTAATAAAAAGATGAGTTTTTTTTTTTTTTTGTCAATTAAATTGATTTTTGTGGAAGGTACTCATAAAATAAAATTTTAAATGTATCAAACTGACCTAAAAAATATTCTTTTAACATTATATGAAGAGAGAATCATATCCAAATAAAATCTAAAATTTACTTATCATTGTATTATTAAAAAAAACAAAAAAAAAAGAAAAAGCTCTAAAATTTTAAGATTCTATGTCCAAATGTCATTTGTTTAATTATATTATAATTTATTAATTAATTATTTACTAATTATAATTTGATTTTAATCTAATAATTGATTATTCAGTTAATTATATAATATAATACTTAATTATAAGTATAATTTAAAAAATATAAAAAAAAGAATATATCCAAATTTAAAATAATCAGGCAATTAAATTTATCTTTATTTTACATTTTATGCGAAGACGATTGACAAATTGAGATTGGGTTTCTGTTATTTCTTCTTTGAGCTTCATGCTTGAGTTTGATGACTTTTTGGTTATTGGAAATTTTGAATATTATTTTTTTTTTTTGCAAGTTTTCAATATTAGTGCTTATTGTTTAAGATGTTTATGGTACAATGACAAGAACAACCTATTTTAAAAAAGCATTGAAAGATGTTTTAGGAAAATTTGCAGCTAATCTAATCTTAAACATGAGTTTTATTTAATGTGACATAAAATGGCAACAAATTTGGAATATACATGGAAATAATAATTGTTGGCTAAACCAAACCAGGATCTTTGTCTACCCAAATCTATCAAATTTCAATCACTCCAGTCATTGCTCCTTTTATATCAGCCTTGTAAGGGATTAAATATATACATATACACCATAAAAGTAACCATCAACTTTACTTACTCCTTCAGTTTATATAGTAAGTATTATGCTTGATTTCTCTCTAAAATTTAGCTTTTTAATTTATTTTGCTTATTGAAGTTTGACAAATTTTTTTATTCAAGTGATTTTTTGTGTATAAATAATTCAAAATTTAGTTCAATTAATTTATATAATTAATTTTAAATGATAATGTTTAACGTGTTTTTGATTCAATTCTTAATATTATATATATTTTTTTCTATCTTCGAATTATGATCTTCATACTAAAAAAAAAGAAATTTATACATGTAGTGCAAGCATGGTTGAATTTTATTCTACTTTTCAAATTATACTCGGTGAAGTTTAAAATAGAAGTAATTTGAATCTCAAAATCCAAAGCTCTTAAAGAAAAGTAACAATCATTAAGCTAAATCTAAATTGTTGTTTATAATATTGTTGAAATATTAATGGCATACTACCATATAATTAAGAATTTGTAACTTCATCGACCTACTTTCTAATTAACAAAAAGTTAATTAGAAAAGAAAAGAAAAAAGAGAAAGAGAAAGAGAAAGAGAGAGGAGTGGGGAATCATGTAAAAGAGCATGGTAGGGAGAGTGGATTAAGGTGAGGGAACAGAAGAAAACGAGGAAGAGCTGTGATTGGGGGACAAGAAAGCGGCATTTGGAAGTTGGTTCGCCGGGTGCTGACCAGGACATCTAACCCTTCTTTTTTTTTTATTTCATAATTACTTTCTTTTCCTTTTCCATCATTACCCCTTCTCTGTCCCTACTTAAATTGTAATTTTCTTTTCTATTATTTTTTGTGGGGATTATAATAATAAATTAAAAGATAGTAATGAGGAATTATATATTATACTCAGATGATATTCATAACCCATAATAGTTCATTTCTATTATTATACTATGCATACTTACTAAGATGATATTCATGACCTATATTGATTAAACCAGTTAGCAAGAAAAGGAATTTTCTTCTTCTCAATTAAGTTTTAGTAACTGCAGTTGATTATTCTTGAATCAATTAATATGTTATTAAAATTAATATATAAAAATTACGAATTCAAAAGAATTTATATACATAATATTTTATTCAAACAAATAAATAATAAGATAGAGGGGATTTAAGGATAAATTAAAAAAAATTTTAAAAATATTTTTAAAGTATAATTTTGAATATATCAAATTTATGAGAGAACAACCTTTGATATCCTTAAATCTTTGATTGTAATAAAAAATTATAATTAGGTTAAAATATTATTTTAAATGAAAATTTATTTTTTTTTCAAAAAATTAGTTTTTATAAAATCCATTAGTCAATTTTTTTAATGTAAATTATTAAAAATAAAATCTTAATCACTGAAATTAAAAATCTAACATAACATTGAAAGATCACAAGACTTTTAACTCATTAATCAAATTTTGTTTCAAATTATAACACTTTTAACTTAAAAAGACCTGTTAATCTAATCCTTATAAAAATATGTTATTGGTGTGCATTTTGGTAAGGGAGAAAAGGTCTCCATTCATAACATGATTAGCAACTGCTACTGCTTGAGCACCCCTTGGGTCACAGGGCTCACAGCCGCTCGCTCATGTCCCGTTCATGCCACATACCCCATCATCACCCTCGCATCACCTCACCTCATTCCTTGGGATTAACCCTTGCTTTCTCCGTTTGCCATCTCCGGTTTTGCTTTGTTTATGCAATTGGATTTGGAATATGTCTCCAATTTGCTTTTCAGCAACGCTTCTTCCCTGCTCTTTATTACTGTTTGTTTCTTCTCTTTTTATTCTTTGAGAGCAGCTGCAAACAACATATGTATCCAAGAAAGCAAAGCAGTTCTCATGTTCAATGTCAAAGTTACCATCAAATATAAATGTATATAAGTTAAGAAGAAAGAGAAACTAAAAAAATAAAATAAGTGAAAGACTCGAAACGTTTGTTGGTTCAAATGATAAAAAAATTTTAATTTTTTTTAAGTAAGATCATGATTTCGAATTTTAAAAATAAAAAAAAATAGGCTTAGAAAAACTTATATTCTTTATGGAGTTCAACCCAACTTGACTAAAAAAATTGAGGTCATAGACTAAAAAGAAAATAAGTGAAAGACTTGTTGTAGACGATTCTCAAGCTGCAATCTATAATTTCTCAATCTACTTCCTTCGCATTCATCTTAAACGGTTGGTACAACATATTTTACTTAGATTTAGTAATTAAACAATATATTTATTTTGATTTAAAAAAAAAAAAAACCTATGTTCTTCGTATCCCAAAAAAACCTTATATAGAACTATGCTTTTTAATCATATTTTCTTAATTTATCCATTTTATTTCAATTTTAGTATCCGCTTTCTCCTAAATCCAAAAACAAATTAAAAAATTCAATTACACAATTAATTATTCCAACACCACTAAAGATGGCAACGGACTAGTTTGAAACGGATTTTTATTCATCTCAAACTCGACCC